TTACCGTAAAAAGAGAAAACTGATTTAATTGCGATCACGTAGAGAATTAAACGTTCGAATATCTGCCAATAACCAGCGAGACATTTTCGAAGGACTTTTGTCAACATTTCATTTATCAAGACGATATCTCCGGCTTGGTTGTAGAGTCAGAAGGTGTGGATTATGCGTGAGTGACTGCTGCAAACAGAGCCTGATTTACAGGGATTTGCCTAGCTCTGCCATTCGCGAAAGATCCCTTTGGATTTTCCATCGCGGCCATTTGATACATAAACAACTGTATATGTATGTATAATGAAGCAACATAAAGGGATTTTAAAGGATTATTCGTCGGAGTCACGTGTAATCGCGCTGCATTTAAATTATTAGCGGATTGTAACTACGATAAATATATATTCATGAGAGACGTTTACGCGAATAGGCTTTTTATTATTTTTGCCGAGATATAAATTTGAAAAACTATGTATAATGCATGCAGCACAATTGTTGGATGATATCTATAAATTTGTCACGTGTTCGAAAACTGTTTGGGAAATGTGATATATAATATTGATGCACCTGATGTGGCGACGCGTTTGGTTTGGTCGTCGAACATCTCGAACCACGGAAACTATTCAGGACAACTGTTTCAACGACCGCTGCTAGGAACTTGGATGGAAATTAATGGAATCCTTGGCACAGGACGTAACATAGCGCACGGAGATGCAGCGTGTTACATATCGGTGACATGCTTGCGAGATGCAGAAGCATTCCTTCGGACTATGAACTTTGATCATTAGCGCTTGCGATTGAGGAATCATCGGAGAAATATAACACATGAGTGTGAAATAAAATGTTACAATTATTAGAATTATCTTGAGAAATATATTGCGAGAGAGTAAGAATTTTCCTACGTTTAAAAGTGAAAAATTTTATCTTTTTCTGTTTTAAAAAAATTTATTTTAATGTTAAATCGATAAAAGAGCAATTATTCATAATTATTGAATTAATAATGCATTTTATTCATGTATAATAATACTCGTTTATATGGAACTCATTTATTCCTATAAATGGTATTAACATTTTCGATTGTAAAAGCTCCTCGTGCACAATACTCTTGTTACGAAATTATTTTAATCGAAGAAAAATATATAACAATACTATTGTTGCTGTTCACTAATGGCAAATCTGATTAAGCTCATATAACAGTTAACAACGTGAATGATTCAATGAAATTTCATTGATTTGGTTACCGGACCAAAGTCATTACACTCGTAAGCGTATTAAATTTGCATTTCGACATTTACTAGCTAAGTCATTTAAATGATCGGCTTTCAAGGACTAGCTCTCCAATGCGAGTCACTTCATTCTTTATTCATGTAATCATAACCGATTAAACTCAATATGATAGTAGACGCGCTATAACTATAATTAGCTCCATTCTTTATTCAGCAAACCGGTCAGAAAATGCATTAAACTTTTAATATAACTCTACTAAAACTTAATATAACTCTAACTTTTAATAACTCTTTATTTGATAACGTTGTTCTCAACTAACGTTTCCCATTCCGTGCTATTTTTGTTATTACAACTGTATTCTGGTCAATATTGTCGTGAAACAGTGATGCACAGTGTAAACTTTCAGAATAGTTTGCTTTTTCTAGAGAGAAAGAGATAAGAGAGGGGAGGAGAGTTTAAAAACATATGTAGAGATTTATATATTAGGGAAAAAACTTTAAAAATGTTTTTGAATTATTTTTAATTATATTATATAAATCATTTCTGTATGTGATTTATCAATTCTTGAATATAAACAAATCCAGCCTATTTTGAATGTCGAATTTTTCGGCTAATCTTGCATAAGAAAATAATTAAATCCTTGTATTATATCATATTTTCAAAGTAGGAAATAAAGCCATTATTATCAATTTATAATTGGATTAGTATCGGATTATGTTTATCAAAACAAATTTAATTAGAATTATTTCATTCTATCATATTACAAAATCAATTACTTCGAATATATTGTTATTGTGAAATGTCACGAAAAAAAACTTAGTATGACGTCATGAAAAAATAAAGAAATGAATCTATAAAAAATCACAAAAATAGAAACAAAAAACCACACTACTAAACAACTTATTTTATTTTTTTAAACTATGATAAAAAATTGTGCATGCTTGAATTAATCCGAAAGGTGAAATGAGATTTAGCTCCAGCTGAAGATCAATCAAGAAGAATAAAAGATGAAAAACGAAAAATACTTGAAGGGAGAAATCGCCAGATAATTTCCGACAGGGCAAGGAATAAAGTTGTAATAACAAATCGAGAAACTTTGTGAAACAAAGACAAAAAAGCTGGAAAGCTTAAAAGCCCTCTCGACATAATCTTGATTCACGCTTCCTAGGAATGGTATTTGGAAGATCTCGACTTCTTTCTTTTTTTCTCAGCTATAGACAAATGGTCAACGTCTGTTAAGTCTTCTTCTGAATTATTCATACAATTTCTGCTAATACATTGAATATGGTAAACAAAATTAGGAATATTTATGAAGAATATTTAAAGAGAAATGCGCAATTAGAAAGATCATAAAATTATCGCGTTTTTCGACATATGTAACTCCTATTAAAAATTTTTTTAACAAATAAAACGTCAATGAATTTATCATTAATTAAATATTAATTTGTTGAAAAATTTGTCGCGCATGCTTTGTTCGATTTCAACATAATATTTGATCAATAACATTCGCCGAAACAATATATGTATATGTGCGACATTTTTTCTCTCTTTCTTCGCTATTATTTTTATTGTCAGATCTAGAGATTGCGAAAAAGTTCCCGTGAGATATACGATAAAATGTGAAGAGCTCTCGATGGCAATCCTAGATCCTTTCCCGTCAGTGAATATATTGAACTAAGTGCGATTTATACCACCGTAAAAAGGGGATCAGTGAACAATGCGACATGAAGAAGAAAAAGAAATTGAATGTTTACACACATACACAAACAGCTGGAATATTTTTTATGAACATCTTCACTGCGCGAAGAATAATCGCATCTTTCAGGAGTGTTCATCCGATGAAATATGTCTTTTTACGCAAAGTAAAAATAATCGAGAATCGTTACTAGCATTATGTTCTGCTAAAGTATGGGATATACATAGTTATTACTAGTTTCTGCTTACCTTCTAACCGAAACAATTGTACCAAATTTATATGGCTGTTATTCACATTACTAGTGATAAGCAAGTTATAGAGCGAGACAGATGCTTACATAATACATACGTGTTATTGATCACTATAATTATATAGCCATGATGTCTATAGCAATGTATAATCACATATGCGTATTATGACTGTCCGTATTACACTTTGCTATAGGATAAATTGTGTTCACATAAATCTTTTTTATGTCACTTTCTTCGTTCCATCATTTGTTTCGTCTTAAATTTATAATAGTAGTTTTTGTTAATAATTATTTAATTAAGGACGTAACCATTTTATATATAGAAAATTTGAAAACAATATATATACATCACAAGTTTTGACGGTATTTTATTTCTTTATCGGTTTTAATATCTTAAGTAATATTGCATCTCATAAAATTATTATTGACTTTTATGGATCTTATATAATCATTTTATGCGGAGAAAATGTAATACTTATGATATTAGAACCGATAAAAAATCGAATAATATCAAAATTTATGTGGTATTTATTTGTCAATTTTATGTGTGTAATTAAAATTATATAGACAGATATGAACGTGAGAAGTAGAATAAAAATGAGGATTTTACGAACTTGTCCGAAAAAAATTCGATCGATATTAATCGGCTACCCGACACGTTTTCTAATAGTTCCTATAAGTATAAAAATCTCATAATTTTTCCTAGATGCTCAATATTTGATCTACGTTATTTGCCTAACAAGAGGGAGAGAAATATGCGCCACTTTTCAAAATTATGATCTTGAATTAATTATGCCACTAATATCAGAAGCACTGGAGAAAACTTCATAGAACCTCTGCTATTCGGCTGAGCAACGAAATTTTCTTACGCGCCTCGGAAGATTTTGCACCGTTGCACGGATCTGTGCAGCGCGAAAAATATAAAGGACAAACTTTCTTCTAGCAGAGCGCGATAATGCGGCAAGACCTATTTCCCATTCTGTGCCTTCTCTGGAAGCTGCGCGTCAGGCGCTTTTACCTTCTTCACCCTGCATCGCGATCACTCGTACCCTCTCTCATTGAACTTTCACCACAGTATTTTCAGCTACATATACATAAAAACAAAAGTGCCACTTGAATAATCCAGAGATTGCCACTCCCTATCTCATGCACTACTATTCACCCCGACTTTTACATTTCCGTGTAAAGAGAATTGCCTCCATATTCTATCCTGAATCGGATATAAACTTGTAATAATGTATGAATAGAGAACCAAAGATTTCTCATTCTTTCCCACTTGTTATACATAAATAATATCGTGACTTTTTCATCCTCCCGAATAATCGCACTATCCATTTCCATTTTCACACTTTCGAGAAGAGATTTATCAAGGAATTCCTGATCTTTTTATCATCACAAAAAGACGAAGGATTATTTAAACTTACTTGAATAATTACAAACTCATTATTATATCGTTGCAAACTGTCTTCTTATTTTATTTTCTCTATTATTTTTAGGACGTCGGTATTTTTTTTAATTTTTATACTGTATGTATAAAACTATATTAAACGTGTATTTTTCAAATCATTATCGTTATTACTACAACATATTTAAACAAAGCTAATTATTTTCCGTGTTTCTATATTAAATTTCTATCGTAAAAGATTGAATATATATAAAATAATAAAGGATCTTTACTCGAACAACGACGAAACATCAGGATCGTCTATATTCATCCCTCTCAACCCTAGTTCTCGCGAAAACCGTCCAATGGTGGCCCTTTAAACTCCCTTTGCACCTTTTGCTATAGAATCACCGATCATCGAGATGACAAAAACAAATTCTTTCAGATATACAGACCATCAGTGTCAACCGTGTAAGCAACCGTGAGATCCGTCACGCATATTTCCGCAGTGCGCTCTTTTTCAACGGAGGTTCTCCAATCTGGCGGGAGGTCTGGTTCACGCGGAAACGGGGAATCGCCTTCGCGGGAGTTTACACCAGGGTCGAAGAGACGATTTTTCCACCTGCTTGCCGAGAGATCGCAAGGTAAGGAGATCACCCTCTACTCCCGGAAGCGGACGCGCGCGCTCTTTGACGCCGATGCGGTACGCGCGTCGCGACGTCACCGACGCCACAACGGACGGATGTCCGCTACGCCTCGACGGACGTCGACGCGACGCCCGACGACGTCCGAGGACGACCGACGCGACGCCTCCGCCGACGTTATATGTCGGCATATATGTATATATGCCGCCGTTGGAAATTCACTGCAATTTCTCCTACAGGATATACCAGGATTGCATTCGTTAAGCTGCCAACTTGGGTTGCTGTCAACCAGAAAAGAGGGATATCTCTTGCTCGCGAAAACGTTCCGGAAGGATCAGAAAGGTGACATTTGATTATTGATATACTTCAACATGTCTGAAAGTCGATGCGGTTCAATAATATGATGATTTCTACTGGGAAACTCAAACTGTGTCATCCGTGTTCGTTTTCGCAGAAATACATATAGATAATTGAAAGCTTTATTTTTTTATTTTACCATGGAAATTAATTATTGAATGCGTCAAGTGTATTGCACCTTAAAAGTTATGGCTTGGAGAAAAATACTTGATAAGGAGAGAAAGGGACACGTATCTTCTGTGACAAGTAGTCATTGCACAGACTTACGCAGGCTTTTAAGTAGTAGCGATCAATGATGAGTCAGGCTGTCAGACTCGTCCGCGCACAAACATATTCACTCTATGAAAATCTCTCTCCAATTTTAAAGTCGACCAGACTGGCAATAATTTATTTAAAAAATTAGTTAAATTACACGTTTCGGCTGTCATTGCAGCCCTTTCAAGTAATCAGATTAATACAATAAATCAAATTTACAGCAAACCCCCGACAAAATTAACCATTGTTGTGTTGAACAATGTATAACTGACAGAAGTGAGCACGAAAAAATAGATGTTGACTGTTAGCAGAAAACTTAGTCACTCAACTTGTCAGTGACTAAGTTTTCTGCTAACAGTCAACATCTATTTTTCGTGCTCACTTCTGTCAGTTATACATTGTTCAACAAAACAATGGTTAATTTTGTCGGGGGTTTGCTGTAAATTTGATTTATTGTATTAATCTGATTACTTGAAAAGGGCTGCAATGACAGCCGAAACGTTGTAATTTTAATTCTAATTTTTTAAATAATTATTGCCAGTGGTGGTCGACTTTAGAGGGAGAGATTTTCATATTTATTACTGCGACTGTTAAGGATTATCATTATATTCACTCTAGTTTTTCTCTACCTTTGCGAGGGTAAAATATTGCCTTTAATAATCATTATTTCATTTTCCATTGCTATTTCATAATATATGTATTTGTGCAGTTTCAGACTTATAATTTTCTCATAATTTTAGGAATATATTCAAATGTGATGAAAAAGAAATTTTTAAATTATTTGATTTTAATCTATTCGATTTAATTTGAAACAGAGTATTACTATATTTCGTAAATGTCTCTTTTTATTGATTAAGATTCTACTTTTACACGCAGTAAAGCTATATAATCTCCACTTTTACATGCAGTAAAAACTAATCTATATGTATTTGTGCAGTTTCAGACTTATAATTCTCGTAATTTTAGAAAATTTAAATAAAGAAGAGAAAATTTTTTTTAATTATTTGATTTTAATCTGTTCGATTTTAATTTGAAACAGAATATTACTATATTTCGTAAATTCTTTTTATCGATAATAGATTCTACTTTTACACGCGGTAAAGACTAATCTTTACTTTTACACGCAGTGAAAACTAATCTATATGTATTTGTGCAATTTTAGACTTATCATTTTCTCATAATTTTAGAAATATATTCAAATGTGATAAAACATAATTTTTTTAATCATTTGATTTTAAACTATTCGATTTTAATTTGAAACAGAGAGTATTACTATATATTTCGTAAATGTCTCTTATTTTTATCGATTAAGATTCTACTTTTACACGCGGTAAAAACTAATCTCCAGAGAAATGTGATACATTCCGAGAGATACTTTTTCTCTTATATAATATAACTTATAATACCCCTGCGTCCAGCACATAAAACATAAATTTTCGCGTCGTTGAACAAAAATTAAATACAAATCCTACCATCTCGCTAGAAAAAGTCTTGTACAAACAAGACAATTAAGCACAAAAGCATAATTAATATTCTTTATAAAAGTGTGTTGTCATTTTACTTTATTAGCAATGTCATCACAAGCAGAATTATTGATTCTGTATAAATATTTCATTTAATGAGATTAACCAGAGGGATAATAAGCAATTAGTATTCTTTTGCTAATTATACCGCGAATATTTACAAAATATATAATTTTACTAATTAAAATTGCTAGTCACATATTATTATTGACAGTATCATAAAATTTAAATAATGTTGAGACAAAGTAGATAATGAGAAATTAAATAATGACAATAATCTAAAAAGTTTCATCTTTTTACAGATATTTCCACGTTCTATAATTGAATTAATAAACGAAAAATGATAGATTTTTTTCAAATTATATCATGTAAAATCTTTATCATGTACATCTCCGATAATTAAATCTGACATTATTATGAAGAGTAATTAGAAACTCGCGGTTTCTAGGAAGTAGGTGCGTAGATTAAAGCACAAGTAGAGAAGCTATCATTTCAGTTGAAATTAATGTGGAACGTATCGTGAATAATGTCTAAATTATTATTCTAAGTATTAGAGATATTATACTTATAAGAGCATATCCACGTCCGTGTGAGCAAATGTAATTATCTCAATTTATTTCACTGTGACATAAATGGCATTTAT